TGATTGTAGAGACAAAATGCTTTGATCAGTTCAACATGACTATCAACAAGGTGATAAAAATCAACCAAGTCAAACAAAATATCCACGAAGTTGGATATAAGAGATGGATCAATCTCACAATGATGCTTTCTCACTAAGAGCGGACTAAAAGAGTCAATAAGTTCTTAACAATATGAGGCACCAAATCCTAGTCCGACTCAAGGCAGACTGACTAGATCAAATGCTAGACAAATAAAGTTGTCTTAGCAACAAAATGCTCTTATCAAGAGCCTAGCCAAAAGGCAAACCGACACAAATTGAATGAGGCAATCTCAAACAGTCTGGGAGATATGTATCACAGCTAAAACACGGATCGATCAAGACTAAAAGAGTGGTCTAGTCGATACAACATGTCATCAACAAGAGATTTTGGGGTGCCCCCCAATTGGAGTATATAACATCCATACTAGCCTTGCATAATAGGTGAAAAAAGGTAGGATAAAGCATTCTTCAAAGCAAAGGCAAGTAAACCACTCTGGGGGTCCCCCCAAATGGGATTATATACCATCCATACTAGCCTTGCATAATAGGTGAAAAAAGGTAGGATAAAGCATTCTTCAAAGCAAAGGCAAGTAAACCACTCACCATCAAATGTGGAAAGTCATTCTACATGCAACGTTGGGATATCAAGAGGTGTGGTGGTAGGAATTTGCTTAACGCACTGGGTATTCATCAAAGTAGAGCGATCAAATTCTGTCCTCAAATAAGATGAGAATCGACGGGGTGCACCCCGGATCTCCCTTTATCAAAATAGGACAAATTCATCTTTATTGATGAAAAGGAAGCCACAACATTTTCCTTATAGCTCATGAAAAGAGTAGGCACATCAAATGTGGGCAAAAGCCACTCCAACAGGATCATAGTAATACCTGACACAACATCTGGTACATTGGCACTAAGTACCACACAAAGGGTTCCATGCAACACCTCGGCGGTTCTCATGGACTGCACAACAGATAGCAAATATCCCGGCCTCGTAACGGACCGACAGGCAAACCTCGGTCTCCTACTACGAGGGTCTATAAGACAAGATGAATAAAAAAAGTTTGCTCGGACATCTGGAGGATCCAGGTAAGAAACTTCTTTCAAGGAAGAGGACCCAGTCCTCGTAGAGGGGAAATTGCTCCAATAATCTTCTTGGCAAGGAAATCTGTAACGGAGTCATCAATATGGACCGCAGATTTAGAGCAATCTAGCTCCTAAGGAGGGAGAGTCCTCAAAACTATCATGGTTGGGGTATAATCCACACAACCAGACAAGACAACAGAGTGATTCTTAACCAAGAGAGTGCTAAATTTCCCATCAACTGGAACCACAACAGGTAAATAGACTTGTGGCTAAGTCGGCTGCAGTAATTGTAGCAATCTGTTCCTATTCCTCTGGACGCCCTTGCCCAATGTAGGGACAGTCGAGACCTCAGAGAAAACCAAAAACGATGGAAGCTGGGACGGTCGTCAAACCAGCGAAAACATTTTCTCTTAAAGAGGATGTTGCTCCTACAATCTTCTAAGTCAGAGAACTCTGGTAGCAACAACAACGCAAACTTCAATGTGAGAATAACCTGCATCCTGGGGAAGAAACAATCCCCACATAATCCTGGCTAGAACATAGTCCACATTGCCAGACATAGGAGAAAAATGATTCCCAACTGACGGGATTTGAGCATCATCCTGTGTCGGAACCGAAATGAGTCATGGCGGGGACATACCACACCACCAGAGGTCGGTACCGTAAAGGGTAGCTCTAGCATTCTTAGGTAGTGCAACATCCGCAAAGATGGAAATCATCAAAATACGAAAGGACTACAAGAGAGGTTAAAAAATGAGAAAGTACGTTATAACGCATCGCTATCAAGTACTAGTCTCTTCCTCGAGGGAAAAGTAGCACCGATACGAGCTACTACAAGAAAAAGAGTGTCACATGTACATCTCCTTCTTTCCAAATGAAGGCATGATGCAAAAGTCCAACAGGGACATGATCCACACAACTACGGACAGTAGAAAAATGACTCACAATTCGGGGGCCAAAGACACCTCCTAAACTGGAATCGGGATAGGTATATAAACCAGAAGCAGAATATGATGCTAAATTTGCAGCAATCTATTCTTAGTCTTCTTGGCCTTCCTGCCTGATCAGGGGACAGGTGGATCCTCAAGGAAACCAGAACAGAAAGAGAGCTGGGACAGAAGTCACAACGGCGACAGTAGTAAAAAACATACTGCTGACAGAAGACTCGTGAGACCTCGTCTGCCTATGGCAGGGAGATCAGTGAGAATACAGAGGGATGGGTTAGAAAAGGCCGTCAGGTGCTGCGGCGTGTCGCTATCCAGCGTCGGCTTCTTTTTGAAAAATAAGTGGGCGTGATGCGAGCCACTGCAGCAAAAATAGCTCGATATGCAAGTCTCCCCATTTAAGGGGAGGACACGGAGGAAATGTCCCAGAGGGCGTAGGAGCAGCTCAATATGCACATCCCCCACTTAAGGGGGAGGGCACAGAGCCAAACGCCTAAAAGGGCGTAGAAATAGCTCAATATGCGCATCTCCCCATTTAAGGAGGAGGGAAGAGAGTGAACGCCTCAGAGGGCGTAGGATCACGTAAGGTAATCCCACAAAGGTGCTCGAAGGAACTGAAGGTTATGACACCCTCAGGAGCACAGAAAGCGCTCTGGGAGAAGGGAAAGGGTTCCCCCGGCGGTAGCGATCATATCCATCTTCCTGCTCTTCCGCGAAGCAGGGCAAAAAAAGACAACGATTGAAAACAGAAAGAGGTTATGAAATCAATCAAAAAATACAACGACATCGATGCATGCAATAATGCAGCAACCGAACTGTCGAGGGTGAAAAAGGGACAGAATGCATCGAGTTGCTACCCCTAGTAACTGACACATGGACTGAAAACCAAGGTCCCACAAAAGGCTCAACTGTGACTCGAATGAAGAGAACCAGGTCACGATAATATGAGCGAGACTCCTAGTACGGAGAGATGTTATAACCCCAAAAAACGAAACTCCAAATATGGAGAGAGAGACTCATCCCCAGCGGAGCCGTCATTGTGTTTTTGTTCATTTTTCTCTTTTTTATTTTAAAAGGAGTCGCCAGTTTGTCTCTTTGTCGTATGTCTCTTCTTATTCGATTTCTCTCCTCTTCGAATCATTTATATGGTTCGGGAGGGAGATTTATTCGAATGGGGGAAGTATACGACGATCAACAAGCTGGTGACTCCTTTTAAAATAAAAAAGAGAAAAATAAACAAAAACACGTGGCTTCAATTTCAAAGAGTAGCAAAATAGATTAGAACCTCATGTAAACTCAAAAAAAAAAAAATACCAAAAAGTGCTCATAAATCCAATCTCAAAAGTCAAAGCTAAATGATTGGGACATAATTGATGTTGATGAGAATGATTGAGTTCATAAAAGCATTAACACCATACAAGAAAACTCCGAGTGATTCTCAAATTGAATGCACAAAAAACTAAAAGCAACAAAAAAAAATTGTAGTTGCAAAAAATGTGACCGAACAAGGTCATCATCCTCAAGAGGAGAGTCAAGTGCCGGTGTGGGTAGGACCATGCCTCCCAAAAATGTCGCTAGTAGAAATCAAGCAGTTTGCACTCCAACAAGGGGGGTAATATCGACAGTTAAAAGAACATGAGTGCCCTTTGTCATCATCGATGTCCTCATAATTGTTAGTGAAAAATCTAAAAGCCCTGGATCATTCCTGGTTTACTTTAGAGGTTATGTTCTTCATAAGGGCTATTAATTTTGATATGGCCCTAAAAAAAAAGGAACAGAGCCTCTTATTTTCATTCAATAGCAAATTGAAAATCACCCATTTCATTTTAGATAAATCAGCCTTTACTAGAAATTTTCCCAGATATATAGAAGACAAAGCTCTATGATGTCACCACAGTGAGGATTTCATCTTCCCCTTGCATTGGCAAGGGGCTGCCATGATTACCAGTGAAGGGGGTCCAACATCACCATCCCCCCTCTTGCCAAAGGAAAGCCCACCAAATGAAGGACTCTCAGTTAGAACCTTCAACAGAATCTGTCCAATGCAGTCAGGGTCAGATCTACCAAATCAAATCTAAGGCAGCACAGATGTATTTTGGTTACCAAGTAGATCCAAAAGCAATTGGGAACTCCGTATAGGCTTCATTCAAACATTGTTTATTCCTAAATGCCTTCTAACCAAGTCATTAAATAAGCCCTGGTGTTAGTTCTTTTGACTTTTTTCGTTACAACATCAGTAAGAAAGCTCTAAAATTTTGAGAAAATCTCAAATTTCCAAAGCTTTCCTGAGAGAACCTCCAACCTTCTAGAGTCTTTCGTGATCTCTGAAACCACTAATCCCATTCCCAAATCTGGTCAGCACTCAAGTTCCTCAAACTAGCTACAAGTGCTGCGAACAGGGACTCCTCACTACATGGAACAAATTCTTCAAAGAACAAATTCCTAAATTTGCCAATATTTTTATTACCGTTCTTTTTCTTTTTAGCTGTAAATAACATGAAAACGATCTCTAGCTAAGCCATCTACCATTTCTATATGTATATCCTATAACAAATACAGAGAATCAATAAATGCAAACCGATTACAGCTTTATCTCTCCAATACTTGCGAGATCTTAAACATTTGCTTCTAGTCAAAGTAAGGAAATTGCTACTAGTACAATAGCAACCAGATCAAACCGTACTCACCCAAAACAAGAATCGAGGCAAGACCTAAACAAAGAAGAATGAAAAATGCCACCACATAACAAAATATCACAGCTCAATACCATCATAAAACACATAGATCTGTCAAAATAAAACTCGGATGAGTACGCAAATCGCAGAACTACCGAGCTCCAGTGAGATCCAACTAATAAGAACCAAAATATAATCACAGAAACACAGAAGTGAAGAATCTGAAAGCGTTTTTAACAAAACGAAAGCTCAAATTGAGTATTTGATTTCTTGCCTTGGTTCTCACGATCAAATCACTATAGGAAACCAGTCGATGAAGACCTGCGCAGACGGAGCTCGTCAGCTAACTGTTCCTTCGGGTTGCGCATGGTATATAAATGCTAGCCAGAATTTATTGCATCGTAATTTTAAAATTTGAATTTAGGAAATTTTTTTTACATGTTAACGCAATTTTATACTTAAAATGTAAGCTTCAGATTTTTATATTTCCCATAAATTATTTTTGCATTTTAAAGTCCTTATATTTATAAGAAATTAAAATTATTTTATGGAATATCCATTAAATATCTTACATCTAGTTTAATTTATAATAATTTTCATGATAAGTTATTTTTTTCTCAATCAAATTTTTTATGTTTTCGGGCACATTAAATTATTATTCTAAACTCAGTTAATTCTTCTAATCTGCCTCATTATGCCCTTTGACTTGTGTCTTGATCGAGAGTGTTTAATTTAAATTGGTGAATTTTAATTATAGATTGCATGCATGAACTTGATATTTATTGTCATATCACCTTTATATATATATATA